GTGAGGATGGGGCACTCTTTGCTCTGTTTGCTGGGGTTATTCTGTGAGTACAATACACACCTTTACTGTTTGAATGGCAGCGATGAAGGAAAATGTTTCTCACTGGTGACAGTTACATTTTATCTATATACAGTGTATTCTTAAAACGTCAAATTAGCTAGCCTCTGCTTAGGTTGCTGCCCCAATGGTTCAGCCCTGTGGAAGATGGATGGATCAAACAATGTTTTATTTTGTTAATTTCTGAAGTGATCTGGTTCAAAGGTTTCTGCAATTTACAACCAGGTACAAGATATGTGTGTCATCAGCAAATAAAACAAATGTTCAAAAAAAGAAGTGTCCCAATCCAATGTATTTATGTGTACTAATATTTCATGGTTAATTGTGTGAAATGCTTTTTTCAGATCCAGTAAGATTTCTTGCTGTGCCTGGAATTTATAACTTCTTCTGTGAGATCAAAGGTTGTTTTGCACCTTCTGATTGTCAGTTGTCTAATATCTGATGTAATTTAATTCATTGTTTTAGTGCTCAGCACAATCCTCCATGGAAATGCTGCAGGTGAGAAATTTTCTTCTTACCAATTATACCATATGTGTTGCTCTTTACTTGTATTTACCAAAAGGAGAGTATATTTCTCCTGCTCCCTGTTCAATTATTTAATAATAATTCAATAATCAGTTATTATTAATCTCTGTCCCTGTACACATAGATGACAAATGAAAGATTAAAGGAAACACCAATATGAAATATGCTGCTCTGAGCTCAGCATAGAGTTTGTTACCTTCATACCCCTTTGATTAGAAGCTGTCTAACACGTCACTCCAAAGTCTCTGTAGAGCTTCAGTGTGTTGAATTGAATGATTCACATTATTTAAGTTTGCATCAAACATTCATAGCAACAATTCTATACTTTTGATCTTTGAATTACAGGAGAGAAAGTGAAGGCTACTGTGACAGCAAACACCGAAATCATGCCAGCAGGGGGCAGTGTGACACTGACCTGCGATGTGAACCAGTTTGCTGACTTAGAATATGACTGGTTCAGACAAACCTCTAAAAACTCTAGGAAGACCGCAGTAGCTGGTGAATCAGACAGAGTACTTGTGATCTCTGAAGCCGGCTTCTACACCTGCAGAGGACGTGTTAAAGACAGTGACCCGGTCATTATTCATGAAACTGGTGAGGAAATTCATTTTGAAACAATAGTAAATGTGAAAAAGTAAATGACGTGATCTTTTCTCCATAATGAAGAATTATTTTATTTAATCATTTACAATTTAATGCTGTACAGAAAATAAAACATCAAACTTCTTCATCCCGTCATGTGTTGACAGATGAGAACCTAAATGCAGACTCTGAGACAGACTGAATAAGAAAAAGTCAAACTTTTATTTTGGCTGATTAAAAATCCAAAAGAACACACACACACACACACACACACACACACACACACACACACACACACACACACACACACACACACACACACACACACACACGCCAGTGGCACCACTACCAAAATAAAACAGGAAGTGATAATTAATCACTAAACAGTGAAACAGACACGAAATTGACACAGGAGGGTGAGACAGGAAACACAATGGGAGGGAACAAATTAAACTCCAACACTAAAGTGTAGAAAAGAACTAAAAGTTCCAAAAATGCTCAAGAAAGAATGAAGAATAATAAACAAAACTAGAAACACGAACAAACAAAGAATTCAACCTGAAAAAGATCAGAAACAAGTCAGACCTGGGAAAGATTAAAACTTGTAAATAGCATTTTTCTTTTATAGTAACAATCAGCCTGCAGGGAGCTACGACTGATTTAACTTGCTTTTCAAAATATTTCACTTACTCGGGTCAAACAGTTGAAGCTCTAAATAAATCTAAATAAATCCTGAAATTAATATTTAAGTTGTGTTTTAAAGATTATTGCATAAAGTGACATGTCTGTGAATCAGCTGTTCCAGTCACTTTACTTTCATGTTATAAACAGTAAAATTTGTAGGCTGTCTCCTAACTGGATATTCTTCTGTGAACAGTTCCCAGTAAGCCCACTGTGACCCTGCAGTCATCCTGGCCTCAGATATACAGCGGTGAGACAGTCACTGTCAGATGTGAGATTCAGGGAGGTGAAGGAGCTCAGTGGACGTATGAATGGAGAGCAGCCAAGTTAAACACAGGTCATACATCCAATGAATACAGAATCACAGTTACTGAGTCTGACAGTGGAGGATACAGCTGCCGGGGCAGAAGGGACTATTTCTTAACTGAGTGGAGTGATATCATCACACTGACTGTGTTAAGTAAGTTGGACCTTCATCTATATTATCAGTTTTAGCTAAATAAGTGAAAATACTTCAAAAGTTTAGCCCTCCTTTGTGATGCTCAGTAAAAATGTCAAAAGAACTGAAAATTATTAAAATAAATGAAAATAATGAAATTATAATAATAATAAAATATATAATTGCTTGTTATACAGTCATTGAAATGGAAAATAGAGCAGATTACATTTCAGCCATTTACTTTTGTTCTTTTTCTAAACTGAACTGCAGATAAACCAAAGGCTGAACTGAGAGCTGATAACACAGCTGTTCCAGTAGGGGGCAGTGTGACCCTGACCTGCTCTGTGAACCCATCATCATCATCTGGATGGAAATACTACTGGTACAGACATGATTCTGGTGAACCTCTGAGTCCACAGGATGGAGTTTTTCTATCAAATGACCAAATCAGAGTCTCACAGGGAGGACTCTACTGGTGCAGAGGACAAAGAGAAGCTTACTACTGGTACACAGAGTGGAGCCAGCCAGTCAGGATTGACACAACTGGTGAGTTTAAATGTAACTTCCCACAAAGCACTACATCGGATGGTAACTGAACCTTTTGACATTCACGTGTTTTTATTGTACTTTCTTGAACATTAACAGTGTCAAACAGGCCTGTTGTGACTCTGTATCCAAACTGGTCTGAGATATACAGAGGAGAGACGATCACTGTCAGATGTGAGATCCATGGAGGAGACACTGAGTGGGATTATGAGTGGGAAGCAAACAGCATCAGAAAACCTTTAAATCAAAATGAATACAGGATTATTTCTGCTTCATCATTGATCAGTGGAAACTATCGCTGTAAGGGCAGAATGAAAAGTTCACAGCATGAAACAACAGAGTGGAGTGATTCAGTCACACTGACAGTTTCAAGTAAGTTGAAGATCTTTCATTCATATTATCTGTTTTATTAAATCCTCACAGGTTTCAGGTTTTAGTCAAAGAGTCTGATGTCACAACTAGGGTTGCAAAGGGGCGGAAAATTTCCGGTAAATTTCCGAAAAGTTTCCGGTAAATTTCCATGGTAAGTTAAGCTTGGGAATTTTGGAAATATTCCATATTGGAAACTGTCCATGGAAATAATGGGAATTATGGAAATTAATGGGAATTTAGGAGAACTAACTGGGAATATATTATTTCC